TGTTTTTGTCGGGAATATGAAGTGTAAACTATACAAGAGGCTAAAAAATAATAAATATTTTTTAATAATATGAATAAGATATTAAAAATATAACAGTTTATTATTTTCTTTGGGCAAAAAGGGCCACCATTAACAGGAGCCCAAATCAATCTTTTATAAGAAAATATTTCCCTAAAGAGTTCCATCGAAGAAAAATATCTGAAATTTTATTATAATATTTATTTTCCACATTAAATACTGCACAGGTTTTTAAATTATAATACACTTGGATGTTTTTGATTTTAAATAAAGTCTTCGAATAACAAAATTCGAAAAATTCGCGTGGGGATTTGTTTTTATGTGCTTATTTAGCATTAGTAAAAATGATTTTCTTATAAATATATCATAAAACTCAGTAAAGAGAGTTAAAATATACAAATTACACTTACATTTTTCAATTTTGCATAAATGTATGTTATCTAATATCGTCGATTATAACTGTATCACGATATAATATAATAGTTATGAAAATTTATTTTTATAACTGCTGTTATTTATTGAATTTTAAATATAAATATATATTGAATATTTTAAAAATACATATTAATAAGCAAACAGAGATTTATGTATGCATATATTAAAGTTGTGTTATAAAATCCTGTATAAAAATTGATAAATAAAATATATTTTATAATTTTAAAGAAAAGTAAATATGAAACATATATCTTTATTATCGTATTTATTATATTTCTGGGAAATTATATACAAGATTAAGGAGAAATTTTAAGAAAATGTTAGCGAAAGTTGTTTTAAAACTTTATTCTTATAACATAAATAATTATTTTAAAATATGTATAGGCCCATATCAATGATTGAATACGAGTAAAGTGATGATTTTATTTAAATTAAACATATATTAATAATATACTTTTAACACATACATAGTACATTATTTATTTGAAAGGTTTATCAAACACACGAAATTATTAATGCCTTATATGTCTACCAATATGCATTTCGGCCTCTTAACCCTTTCAAATAAAGTGTACTAAAAGTATATTTGTACTATAGGCTATATTATAAAAAAGGGATTAAAGGCTAATTGATATATTAAATTAAACAGATAAGAATAATTTAATGTTTTTCACGACTTATTTTTTTGTTTTAATTTGTCAAAATAGTTAATTTTATATGATATATTTAATTAATTTTAAAATACTTTATTAAAATTTGGTATTTTTTTCTGTTGNCAGACAAATATTTTATGAAGAGGTGTCTTATAAAATAAATTTATTCTGTACTTAGTTTTCTATATTTTAATATAAATTTATTTTAAGGAAGTGCTGTTAAATCTAGGCAAAAAAGAAACTAGTAAAAATTATTATTTTTTTAAGTACATTTCTTTGTATTTTCGGATATTTCTGTTAAAATTAAACATGTTACTAAAGTCTATTGATGATAATATCCGAGGATAAAAATGTGTGTTAACCGTATTAAGGTCGATTTATGAAATTCCAGTTTATTTCGTGATGTTCTTATCAATAACGTTATCAATATTGATAAGAAAAATCTTGAATTGTTCTTCTGACTTGTCTCGACTTCTTATAAAGAAATAGATCAGAAAATCCCAAGAAAATTGCACTTAAATAATACATAATTACACTCTATTAATTAATTATACTGACGTTAAGTATTTTACTTTAATTTATTGTATATAATAATTAAAATTTAATTTTTATATGATACTAACTATAATTTTTAGTTAATTTTAATTATTTTTAAATATATTAAACCTGAAACGAAAGATATTTAACTATTGATAAATGTTTTATTTGTTTTTTAATAGTAAAGAAACTTAAAACTTGTCCTTATGTTAAAAAATAAATTATTGATTTAAATAATTAGACATATATAAATGACCAACGCTAAGTATTTATGAAAATTTAAATAATATAAAAGCAAAACTTACATACGATAAGAAAGCAATCAATCAGTTTTATTAAAAATACTTTAATATAGAATATTTTTTAAAACGAATCTAAATATAGGTTTAAATAGAATGTAAATTTTTTTTGCGCCCGAATAATTATTATCCTTTAAAAACTCGATTATTGTTTAAATTTACGAATTATCAATTCATACGTCATTGAAGGTAAATTTCCCGCTCGCCTCGATTCCATTTTCAGTAGATTGGGACTCAACCACCTGCGGGTAGTACCGGTCAGGTGTGCTACTATAACCAATAGCGTGACGTGTTGTGTTAGGGTCTAAAGTTTTCGTGGTGGAGCTTGTGTGTTTATGTACTTGCGGACGTAGTCGCCGAAGCAAACAGTTAAGATTATTGCCCATCTTTCCTTTCGTTTTCCTTTGTTTAAAACATGCTTTATTTGATAAAAACGAGAGTGTGGTTGCCATCCAAGATGGAGTCTCGACCACTCCCGTCCACTTGTTGAAGGACAAGATGCCGGCACCGGGCCGTCCTAAGATGGTTTACCACTTCATTAGGCCTGGCGGGAGCATTAAACAGGAGTTACTGGCCAGGCAGAGGTAAGAGATCAGAATGCGTAGAGATGAACTCGATGCTTAATTTCGTGTATGTAAGGATAATGTATAAGGAATATTATTTGACTTATTCATCAAATAAACTATCCGAGTAAGTTTTTTGTTCATCCTACTTTAAAAAAAATCAATGTGAAATTGTATTCAAATTTATAAATTAAGTAATAATTTAATAATCATTTTTTGTACTTTTATTGTCGGTAAATTTAAGCGTAAGGGAATATATGATTCTTTTATTAAAAATTCGAATGTAAAAAAATATATTTCGAGTGAATTTCTATAGGCAGCTTCAAAATATGAAATGACTTTCGTATAATTTTTCTATCTAGTAAAGGATAGCGATTATTTAGGTAATAATGATATTCGTCATTGTTTGATATGTGCAACTTTGCAACAAATAATGCACGAAGTTCAAACTTCAACCTGTTGTAATTGACCTCGCTCTGGTATAGACTACTTTTATGTCTGTACGAAATATTTCTTTCTGTACTGTACATCTCACACTAACTCTTTATTATTGTTTTCTCTAAAAGTTCTGCTTTACACACTCGTTTATAATATTTTAAATCAAATTTTACTACATGCGTGTTGATAAAGAATATCTTTTAATCTAACTACTTAAATTTTTAATTATAATTAATACATTTTTGCTGTATGAAGAGTATTTTTAATAATCATCATTTTGATAAACTTTACCGTGTTATTTAAAAAAAAACTCTTATTAATTTTTTAAAATTAAACTTTAAACATATTTTAATACCTAAAAAAACTTCATTTAATTGGTTAATTTAATTAATTAATTAAAATTTTAATACACGTGAAAGTCGCACAAATTTAATTATGTTAGGTTTAATTAACATAAAAAAATGGTTTAATATTTATTTTTAAAATGTAGTATAATGTGAAAGTTTAAAATCTCATCGTAAATTATATAAAAATAAGCGATTAGGATAATAAAAATTACAAATTAAAATAATGTCCGAGTAATTTGATAACATCTTAAATTAGATTGAAGTACTTTAAGCTTAATATTAAATACGTTTGAGGTTGAAAATTTTTATGTAACTGAATATCCCGTTGTTAAAATTAACAGTTGAATTAAAAACAAATGTAAAAATGATATATTTATAAAAATATCGGATAATATTTTTCTATGAAGTAATTAAATAATTTGTAGTAAAATATTTCTAAAAATATTTAATCGAAAACAATGCTTTAAATTGCTTTTAGTAGAATATTTTCCCTACGTAATATATTTAATGTATTTATTATAAATTAATAAATTTATTTTATTTATAGGATTATTATATTATTTTACAATGACTGTTTTGTTTTTTAAAATCTGATTTAAATTGCGTTTTTTGGAAATAAAAAAAGTAAAATAATTACTCGTATTAAGTACATTCACTTCGATTATCTGTATTTAAACTTCCTCAGAAACTATTGAAGTAGGCAAGTAATACTTTCCTGTATTATTAACGATAACATTTCTCTCCTAAGTTTAGATTATTAGATCAGTCTCACTTCTTACTCTTTCTGTAATATAAATCTACATTTAGCATAAAACTAAATAAATCAATATTAAAAACTGACCCTTTTAATTATCATACAGTTTCGCTTGCTGTTTTCTTTCCGTGGCTTCACTTCTGTCAGGAATTTTTTTTTTATTTAGTCCTCCTAATGTAGTTTATTCCCTCTTTTAATAGTTAATTATTATATTAAAGAATTAACTGTATAATTGTGATTTATAGGTATGTATTTGTTAATATAATTAAGTATAATTTTATTAATAAATTAGATTTTAATTTGTTAAATGTAATTTTTAATAAATATTTAATATTCGAAGTTAGTAGAAATTCTAAAAATGGATTTTTTTTTTATTTTTATCTTTACTCAGATTTAGAATTGGTGACGTTAATTATAAAGTTTAATGAGATGTTAAATGTAAAAAAGTATGTAAAACTTTAAGTTTGTTATATTTTTAATTAAATTTTTTTTTTAATCTAAATTTTTCTTCGTGGAGATTTAAATCGAAAACATACTTAGCTTTGCGACAGTTTATTTTTTTAATTAGATACCGAAAATAGTATCGGTTCAGTTGATTTTGTTTTTATAAGAATGTCTGCTATGTCTGAATAATTGTGACATTTTGATAAAAATTTATCTGTATCTGATGTACACTGTTTGCATACGTCATCCGTAAGTTACTGAGTATGAAATGAGAAACAGATAGGGCTACTTAAGATCCGGTCCTTCTTTAACCACAGTTATTTCGCATTTGTTTGTCTGTCCCGAAGCAATTACGAACTATCCCTCGGCTAAGTTCTTTATATCAGGTGATTCACCTGACGATTAGTACAGGTGACCCGGTCCTCCCATGCATGCCAGGTTTATAGGTAAAATCCTTTTATATGTTTATTATTTTTTCAAAATTCATTCCTTTACGCTAAAGATCTATTGAAGAATCTGTGATATGCAATTCCATATAGGTGTGGCCAAAAAAAAATGGTTTTTTTTATTTACTTGATGCCATTTAATGATTTCGGTCAGTTAGTTTTTATATCATTTTTCTAAATGAAGTAGAAATGGCATTCGGTTTCGTGACTTCGAATTTACTCCTTTTTATCACTTCAGTTTGAATTGGATTTTTAAACAATGTTCTAACCTATTATACTTCTATTTAACACTGTTAATTTAAAGCTATTGATTCTTAATTTTAATATTTTTTTAATCAAATTTTCATTTGTGGTAAGGAGTTTAGCTGTTGTAATAAAATTTACCAAACTTTGCAACCGTAATATAAATAAATAACTGGAAATGAAAATAAAGTGAAAATATGTATTAAAAATATCACATACGATTAGACCGTCAAGGATCTGAGGTTTTGAAGAATTTAAATAGAAAATTAATACAACAATAGAAGAGTAATATGTTAACGTTTATTGGAGTTAATTTAATTAAAACCATGTTTTATAGTAAGATTTATTTAGATTAATTCGTCTATAAAATTAGTAAATGCTGGTCATGGAGATCACGTAACTTTTTAAGTCTTTATTTTGCAGGATCTTTTAATTTATACTTTAATTTGCATAATTTAACTATAACTTTTACAACGGAAGACTTATTTATTTTTAAAGATACCTTAAAAGAACAGGTAGCGTTAAAAATTAAGATTTTTATTTCCTATTTTAAAAGGTTACGTTAGTCATAAAGTTTTGAAAACTCCTTTGTTATCGGTAATTTTTACGATGTAAATAATCTCAAGATAATAGCAAAGAATAAAATATTATATAATATTTTTTATTATTATATGTAAGGCAAGGGTTTGTAATTTATGATAAAACTATTTAAGTATAATAAATTAGCAGTTGATTTAAAATTTTTGTAGCTGTTTATCAGTTATTAACAGAAATAATGAATCGTCTTGTCACATTGCTCTTTGTTGGACAGGATATATTACTATTGTTATTGATTACTGGTGATTCTATTGTAGATGCTGATGCTCATTTGTCTGAATTACTTTAGATCTACAATATATTTGTAATTACTCGGAATATTTCTCAGTTATTTTATGCTTTTATTTTATTTTGAAAACTTTTTTTTTTAAATATACCTCTACAGAGTCAAATTCATAAGGATACTATAGTCTATGTACGATACAGCATATTGATATTTATAGTAATATTGAGAAGGAAATAAAGCAATTTTATGAAATAATAAAAAGTCATATAAAGAACGAAAAATTAATAAAATTAATTATATTTAAATATTTATTAAGTTCTACTTTAATTACATTATCAATTTTTTGCCTTTGATCATCTTTTCAATGCATAATTTGGCATTACTGATTAGCATTTTAAAGTGTACTTTCGTTTGACAAATTGAGATTAAACATTCTAAACTATAAAATTATTAAAAATAAAAATGTAGCGCATAAAATATTTTAAACGGAATAAAGATTATACGTTAACGAAGGCTTACAATAGCTTATTTTATGCGATAAAGCTTAAAGATTTCATTTTTTTCTTTATTATTTACCTTCAGTTTTATGGGATGCACTGAACAGTATATTCTCTTGATGCGAAAATAAAGGAAATTTTATTGTCCATAAAAATATAATTAATTCTGAAAATTTTATACTTTGTTTTTTTTTGCTGTTATATTTTTAAAACGTGTAATTTTTANATTAAGTTTTTTTTTTTTAAATTCTTTCTGCCCTGTGGGCACTAAGCCTCTTATAGCAAGCCCATTATGGGTTCGGCCAAGACTACAATGGGGCGGCCAGGTGGTGAGGGATAGGGACCGACATATCCGGTCGGACAACTCCCCGAAAAATTCCTGGGGATTTTTCGGGTTGTCCGGATTCGATCCCGGGCCTGCATTTTATACAATATAATACAATATAACTAAATTTTAAGGAAAATTGGTAAATGTGTATTTAGGTAAACCTGATGGCGGCAATTATTTTCTTTTGTAATATCAGAAATACTTAAAGGTCAACAGTTCTAATGGCAAAAGTGGACCTGAAAAGGATTTTTTCCATTAATTATAATCAGATTTTCTGAAATAGATGTTGACAAAAGAATTTCATCAGATGTTAAGTTTGCCATAAAGTTCAGTTTGCAATCTGTAGATGTAGATTGTACGAAATGCGATGGTCGTCGTAAACTAATTTATAAAAAAGGATCGTGATTTAATTTTAATTCGATATCACAAATGCAAGCTGAGAAGTTTGCCGTTTGACGGAACTTTTAAAGGTAAATTCGGCGGGTAACTATTTTTTCTCCATCATTTGGCATCTAATTTGCGTAGACTGTACGTTGAACACGACATGTTTGGCTGTGGGCGTGAGTTATACAGCTGTTGACTGGGCAAACTTCGTACGACAAGTTATGCCGATTTCCTAGTATAATTTATCCCAAATGAAAATTGGTGGATCTGGAAAGATTGTCGAAATCGACGAAATAGTTGTGAGTAAAAGGAAAAACGAAAAAGGTAGATTTTGAAAGGAACCAGGTGGGTTGTTGGTGGAATTGTGCCTTCTGCTACGAAAGCAATCCCCAAGAAATCTGAAAATCAAAAGAGGAGGAAAGA